TACACATAATTTTTCTTATAGTCAGAGAACACTTGAGATGAGTAGATACAGGAAATGGTGAAAATAAAAAAATCTTTAGACATATTAGACTTGAGCCAAGTAGACGAATGAGGTGGTGGGAACTGCCAAATTAATCATGTTGGATCCCACCATTTCATGTGCCTATTTGACTTCAGCCGAATCGGCTCAAATAACAAACTCTTATTGTCTTGTATATTTGAGAACTTTGAAAATAAATTATAATAGATATACTTAACTTTCGAATTCTAAAACGCATTTTCACCATTAGTCTTTTGTCTTTTTTTATGTTTTTTCCCTTAAAATTTCAAATAAAATTGCCATGCTAAAGTCCACGAGACTCCGGTCATTGCAGAGTGTGGAATGATCATATGGCTAAAGTGCTTTAACATAAATGAACGAATTTGCTAGAGTGCAAGCTAGCCATTTATGAAAAATTGAAGAATTATTTTTACACACAAATTTTTTGTACAGTCAGATAACACTCAAGAAGAGTAAACACATGAAGTGGTGGAAAAAAAATAATAATAAATAAATAAATAAATAAAAATAATTTAGACATGTTAGACTTGAGCTGAGTAGACAAATGAAGTGGTGGGAACCGCTAAATCATGTTGGGTCCCATCATTTCCTGTGCCTATTTGACTTAAGCCGAATCGGCTGAAACAACAAACTCTTATTGTCTTGCATGTTTGGAAACTTTTAAAAAGAATCATAGTAGATATACTTAACTTTTGACATTAATTTATACAAAATAATAATTATCGAATTCAAACACGCGTTTCCACTATTATGCTTCGTTTGGTTGGAGGGATGGAAAAATGGATTCAAAAGAGGGAGGGAGGAATGGATGAGATATCCCTAGAAAAGGAAATGTGTCTTCTTCATTTTTTGTTTGGTTGAATAAAATGAATAGTAGAAATGATGAATGAAATGATACTTTTTTCTTAATTGGTTGGAAGGAAGAGAATGTGAGATTTTATCTTTTTTTTACCAATACACCCTTATTATATAAAATTATAAAAAGTAGATATTCATTTCAAATTTTTTGAAAAAGATTAAAATTTTAAATTTTAAATTTTAAATTTATAGGTAGTTATGTTTTCTTTCTCTCCTATGTTCTCCCAAAAGTGGGCGGATATAAAAATATAAATAAAGCATCTCTCCTTTTTTTCTCCCTCTCTTTCCTTTCCTTCAATGAAACAAGAAATTTTTTATCTATCTCTCCTCTCATCCATCCCCCCTCAATCCTTCCCTCTAACCAAACATAACATTAGAGTCTTTTGTCTTTTTCTTTTACCAAAATATTCAAATAAAATTGTCATACTAAAGTCCCAATGACGCTTATCAATACGGAGTGTGGGATGATCAAATGGCTCAAGTGCTTAAATACAAATGAACGAGTCCATTAAAAGCCACACTAGTCATCTATGACAAATTGAAGAATTATTTTTACACAAAAAATTTCTTCAGACATATTAGACTTGAGCTGAGTAGAGAAATGAAAGGGTGGAAACGGCCAAATCATGTTGGGTCCCACCACTTCATGTGCCTAATTTGACTTAAGCCGAAGCTCAAATAGCAAATTTTTTTTGTCTTGCATGTTTGGAAACTTTGAAAGTAAAAAAAAAAAAAAAAAAAACATAGTAATGAATTAGTGCCTACTGCCAAATTATATTGGGTCCCACCATTGCATATGCCTATTTGACCCAAACCGAATCGGCTTAAATAACAAACTCTTATAATATACATCTTGCATGTTTGGAAGCTTTGAAAAAAGATTTATACAAAATGATATACTTAACTTTTGATATTAATTTATACAAAATGATAATTACCGAATTCAAACATGCATTTTTCACTATTAGAGTGTTTTGTCTTTTTTTACTTTTTTTTTTTTTCTTTCAAAAATTCAAATAAAAATGCACTGGTAAAGTCATAGTAGCACAAGTCAAAAATGGATTTATTGATGGTATAAAATGAAAGTGCAATTCCCAATGTAAAATGAAAATAATGAATACCTTATCAAAGTAATGAAAGGATGGATTAACATGTGATTCCATTACTTTGTTGACTTAATCCATTGACAATAATGGAAAAGGAATTGGGGTAACGAACACGAAAATCCATTCTAAAGACAGATTTTGTTCCGCATCACCATCACCCAATTCACAAGGCAAAGCTGGACTCACTTTAATCACACATTTCAACTTTAATTTTCTGCATCATTATTGCTTTAACACAACACTAATTTTTGTCTAATCATCTAAAGTTTGATGATTAATTGTACGACTCCAATGTTGTGTCTGCGTGTGAGACAGAAGTTGTAAATATTGTATCAAACCAAGGTTATTTCATTAGGCCAAATGATATTTCGGTATCATAAAGATTAGCTTTTTATTTATTCATTTATTTTTTTGTTTGTTATTTATAAAGATAAAAGGACAATGGAAGGGAATTCAATAAAATGAAAGGAAGGAAGAGGAAAGCATGAAAAGAAATTAGAGGGATTTTCTTTGTTTGGCAAATAAGAAGAGAGGAATGGGAGGGAGGTGTGACCCTCGCTAAACATCTTAATTATTTTACTTTATTTTTATTATAGTGAATTAATTAATTTCAGTGAGTTCGTAAATGTAATTCTAATTTTGAGTGAACTATTGTTACTTGTGTTCTTGTTTTCTAAAGACATATTTTGTTTCGCATCAACCAAAAAAAATAAGAACACAAGCAACAATGTTCACTCAAAATTTGAGCAACAAGCTTATGTTCTGGTTTTTATGTTTTTAAAATGTATATATATATTTTTTTTGGACAAATTGTTGATATCTCCCACAGTCTTATGAAGTAGTTATTTACTACTAATTATTTAGGTTTTTTTTTTTTTTTTTTCCCTATTATCTAGGTGGTTGAATTGTAGGGTTTTGTAAGGAATGGGCTATTAAAACACTATACTGGGTTTGTTGGGCCTATTTAGCTTTTGTTGCTTGTTTTTGCATGGTAAGCCCAAATTAATTGATCCACGATAATCTGAAAGCCTCAAAGTTTTATGCAGGGCCGCCTAAGGCCCCAATTGCAAGAAGAGGCCCCATATTTTCTTATTATATTAATTATGTTTCCTTTAATATATTAATTACCAAATAATGCAATTTCTATTATATTGATGAATACACAAGTTACGGTTCCAATGACAAAAGAAGTTCTAAATTTTTGTTAATCTATTAATTATGTTTCCTTTAATGTATTAATTACCAAATAAATATAACTCCTATTATATTCTATTTTTTTTTTATTAATAAAATTAACAGTATGGTTTTTACCACCATTTCAATTTAATTATCACATCAAAAGGAAATTTAAGACATAACTGTTGATATATTGTGTTCTACAGACTACACCCATGTTTCTGTATCAACATCTTGATTCAGGGAAGTCTTGCATTGCACTGCACATATACGCAAATTCAAAATAATAATAGTAATAAATAAACAAAAGTAATACCTATCAATGGATTCTGCAGATTTAACACTTCTGTGCGTCCTATTCTGATTAAAAAATTTAAATTTTATAAGAAATTCTTTCAAATTATATTTTGTTAGACGTAAAATTTTGCACGATCAAAATTTCAGACCTTTTCTACAAGAAAAGAGAAGTAATTATCGGCATAGTACCGGTCAGGTACATTCCAACGATTAAATTAGTATTTAAGTCATAAATAAACGAAAAACATTATATTTAATTTTTGATGTATCTTTCTAGTGACCGAATGTTTTTCCTCACCCATCACCACCAATTGTGAGAATCATTGGTAGTAATTATCTCTACCTGAGTTTATCCATAGCCTATGTGTAAATCACAAACTTATGTTAGCGATTTTCAATCACGATGTCATCTTTCAGTTGCAATTGGGCAGGAAATGTTAGAACCAATTTCAGATATCTGTGACAATTTTTCGTACCTACTAGGGATATCTGAAAAAAGTGTCTGTATCAAACACTATGTTACAAAAAAGACATTACTTTATTCTAAAAAATAAAATAAAAAGATTAAATAATAAATATTTGATAGTGTCCATCTATCCTTCTGTTTAAGAATTTGATGTCTCATATTTGAATACGCATCCCCATCCATGTAACATAATGTTCAACGAAGCTTCACAAAGCAATTGTTCTTGCAAAGCCCATCTAAGAAAAAGTTACACATGACACATATTTTGTGTCCGGTCATGAATTTGCATTTCACCAAAGTGTTCCTGGTGCATGATTTGACTCTTTGTTTTTTTTTCCTTTTAGAGTACGTATATCAGGCTCATAACACACACATTTCACCAAAATATTCATAATACATTATTCGACTTTACCTTCCTCAAAATTAGATCAGTTAATAACTCTTTGATTGGCAATAATCGTTGTGCAATAAATTCATCTCTACAATTTTATTTTTAACTAAAAAAAATTTCCCTTAATTGATCGAGGGGTTGTTACTTTTAAAATTTAGCCCGTACAACCGAGATGAAATGGCTTTAGCCCATATAGCCCTAAGAAATAAATATATAAATAAATAAATATATATATATATATATATATATATATATATATATATGTGGGCTTAAATCATAAAACCCCCATTATTTTCATTTTTCGATCATAAAATTCCAATTTATTTTGTGAAATGACTAAATTAGCCTCATGATTATAAAACCCCAACTTACTTAGCACATGTCCCTCCAGATGTATGTTTGTCACTAAATTTTAATTGCCACAGCACCTATTAACCACGCAAGGTTAACGGCCCAAGTTAAAATGACAATTAAAATTTTATAATCTTGTTAGGATTTTTATAAACAAGTTAAAAATTTATGATCAAAACATAAATGTAATGGGAGTTTTATGATTTAAGCCTGTGGAGGTCTATAGACAACCACCTTACCACATCCAGTAAAATTCCAATACCCATCTTCTCTAAGGACAGTGAAATTCCAATACCGATCATCTCTAAGGACAACTTTTTTAGCCATTATCTATGAACCGATATTTACAAACACTTCAACTCTTCTTCTTGTTTTTTTTCCAGTAAAACAAAAAAAAAAACAAAAAAATTTGTGGCCATGAAAACAAACAACTGCCCCTATCATCATCACACTATCCTCCAGCTGCAAACAAAACAGATCAGTCAACATACTATAATTAAAAAGAAATTGGATTCCTTACCCAAAAAAAAAAACCCCATAAGTGGTTCCTTACATCTTTGAATTGTCGATTTGAATTGTCGATTCTACTGCCTATTTGCTTTCTTATGTCTTCTCGTCCTGCAACTACACAAATTTGAATTTGTCAGCAGATATTCAGGACAAATGTCCAGTAACGATGACAACTGAATACAGTTTTTATTACGGAACTTAACCCAACACTTTATGAAACGAGCTGAAGATAATCATGTACCACCTGTGTTTCCGAAGGCTTGAAGTGGCATGTCAACTCGGGGTAAGATTTTTCCCTTCGTATCGAACTAAACCACATGCTCCACCACTTGTGTAGGCCCCCGTCACCACCAATTTCACTGAAGAAACCATTGGCCTCTTCCAGCTTACCCATAAACCATGAAATTAGAGAGGACCTATAAACAATCACATCCAGTGAAATTCCACTCCAAGAACAACTTTTTAAACCTCGTCTATGAACCCATATTTACAGTCTTTCAACTACTATGACATGACAAACCATATATGATTTCAATTTGAAACCAAGACCACAATTGTCTCATTTGCCATTTCATCATTCAACCAAACCACAAATCCTGTATTGCCCCAACTGACACAACTCACAACCCATTAATCTTAGTCCTGTATACAATCAATCATTTTCTTGAATGCACACCTTCATGATTTCATGACTCACAACATTTGGACCACAATCGCTCTTTCGAATCCTACTCAAATTTGTAAAATCAGAACTAACACAACTCAGATTGCTAAAAGAATAAGAATAATGCTATGCTAGGCACTAAATCACGAAAAATATTTAGTATAATTTTTGAACTAAACTTTCTTCAATTCTAAATTTTAGATACGGATCCCATATACAGTATTAATGTCTTTAGTGACAGAGTACTCTAGATTAAATTAATTGTCTCATGTAGCAATAGAACATCGTGTCAGCATAAAAGTTTAATGCATCATTTAGATAAAATCACAAAAGTTGCCTACTTTGGGACTTTAATATCAATAATTTACCAAGTGGGGCTTGCTTGATTTGATAGGTTAGAAATTGAGTTTTGGGATTGTAAGTAGTTTGTCTATTTGGGTCAGTGGAATAAAGATGAAATTTGAATTCTGATACAGCAACTGCAAAAGCAGAAGCAGAACAGGCAGAAGTTCTGAAAACAATCTGCACAAAACAGAGGAAACAGAGACGCTTTTGACTCATTGTTTATCCATTCCGTCTTATTCCGGATTACAGATAAACCCTATAAACAAACACTCGCTAGTACAAGTGTCACACCCTGATTTGCTCTTGCGAGAAAACCGTGAACACCACATGTCATTTCTAAAACCTTCCCCAAACAACTCCTAACGATTATAATGGTCACCTCCAACGGCTTTTCAAAGACCAATCTAAATCTGTATCTCATAAACATATGCAAATCTCAATTTCAGAACATCATTCCCAGTTCATCTCTCTCTTGGCATCCAAGACATGCAGAATTGTAAGTATGAAATGATAATATATATATTTTTCATGGTCCAATAATTAATCTTTTTATTTTTGATTCTGTTGATTTTTTTTTTTTTTCTTCAGATTACAATGGCAATCACAAGCCAACCTTCAAAGAGATCATTTTAGCCTCTTCAATCGGCTTGATCATTGCTGCGGCGATGCATTTTCGGTTCAAGAAGATAAGAGATCAGAAGATTGTTGCCAAGTTAAAATTAGACTCTCGCCATGTTGAGAAGGTCGAGAGGTTTTCACACTATGTAGGTAAATCATATGATCCATTTCTTCGTTACCCTTTTTTTTTATTATTATTATTAGTTTCTATATTTTTTCAGTCCTCTCTTCATATATTAAATTCAATTCTTGTTGACTTTCCAAACAAATATATATATTTATTGTGGTTGGTTTGTGTAAATATGGATGTATTTATGTGTGTGTATTATATATGACATCAGCTCTTTTTATCAATTGGTGCAGCTAGACAAATGGGGTTTGCAGATAGAAGAGAATGTCCACAACTTTGCAAGTTAGCTTCAGATTATATTAGAAAAGCTGAAGGGTGTGAGGAGAATTTATATTCATTCTTTGCACCCGAACCGGACGCGGATTCGCTGTTTATAAAGCTTGTGGAGGAGTTTGAGAGATGCACTCTCAGTTACTTTGCATTCCATTGGTGTCAAGCTCATAATATGATCAGTCAGGTGATTAAAATGTATAGAGCTTTATATATACATATAACAACTATAGTTATAGGTTATGAAAAATGTTAATTAGAATTAGCCCAACGCTGTTCCTAGTTACAATTATGTTAATTAAACTCTCAAACTACTTGTTATGAAATTTCAGGTGTTAGGTTCTGATTCTGAGCCAAAAAAGAAGCTCAAAAACATTGTGATGGCTGCAACTAGGTGGGTTTTTCTTGTTCTTATTTATATATGTGTGTATGTATGTATATCCTTGTGTATATTGCCATAACACACGCACAACAAAAGTAGCTAGACAGGCAACAAAAGGACTGAAAAATAAAGTCATTTTCCATCTGACCTGACTTTTAGGAGTATATATCTATCTATATGTTGGATATTTTTGAAGCCAATACAATGGATAATGTAATATGTAATAAATTCAGATCAATGTAATGTGTTTTGGATGGTCAAATCTGAAATGAAACACAGGAAGAAGAGGCTGAAAACAGGGCAGCTTTTCTTTCTTTTTCTGGCAAGTAGGGCAGCTTTGTCTTTCCATTTCTCTTTCTACAGATAGAAAGTACAACATTTTTCGTAAGGGGAAAGTATGCGGAGGAGACTCATATGGCTTCACAACCAACCACACAAAAATGAGAAAATAAATCATCTCCTGTTATTTTAGAGATAGAGAGAGGATTCAAGTGTTGGACAAATGAGGGTAGAAAAGTACAACATGTGAAGGTTCAAATGGTAAATAAAAAAAGCAAGGTTTGTTTTGTCATTTTATTACCATGAAGGGTAGTTTTGGTACACTGCTGATCTAGTCTATTAATGCATATTATGTGATCAAGGAAACACTGTTGACCATTCAAGCCATATAATGGAATTAAGAGAATAGTCCCTGTTCCAATAATTTTCAAGAAAGCTTTGAAGATTTAGCAACTTAAAGACAACAAATATAACACTCTCCATTTAGAAAGGCATCCTAGACCATTCATGACTATCTCAGTTCATTTGTATCATCTAGCTAGGAACAAGATCTTTACAATATACAAACCACATTCATATCATAATTTCAATTTAGTAATAATATTTTTTAAACCATGAGAGACCTGAATGACATTATCAACTATTAAGAAACTAAGTCAAATATTTACAATGATCTCTCTTTATTTATGTAACAATCAACACTTGCTGCCCTATTCATATGAACACAATCTCTGTCTAAAGTTTATGTACTTTAAAAGGGGAAAAAAAAAACTAAACGACGCATAAGAAGTCTACAAGTGATTCACAAACATGATATTATGCATTTAGGGTTGATGAATAAATCTACTCTTCCTTGCTGCGATAGGGAACAGAGATTCGAGAGGGTGACGAAGAATCTGAAGGTGGCAAGAGTGTTTAATACACTGGTGGAGGAATTGAGAGCTATCGGAATTGCATCAGTTGATGATTCACAATGCACAGACGTGATGGCTCCGGTGGCTCACAAAGATAGAAGTCCTGTCCTCCTCTTCATGGGTGGTGGAATGGGAGCTGGGAAGAGTACCGTGCTCAAGGACATTCTGCAAGAGTAAGGATAATCATACAACTATTTAAAATAAACAAAAAGTTTAATTTCTAACACTTACATAGAACTACAGTTATTATTGGTATAATTAGCATTGAGTAGGATCATCTTGCATTCATAAAAAATAATAGAAGGTTAATAAGGTTGGTGGTTTTGTATCAACATGTGTACAGACCATTCTGGGCAGGAGCAGCAGGAAATGCAGTGATTATTGAAGCAGACGCCTTCAAAGAGTCGGATGTCATTTACAAAGCGCTCAGCTCGAGGGGCCACGATGACATGCTTCAAACGGCTGAACTGGTATGCTCCTTCCCTCCCTCGCTCCTCCATTGGCACAAGCATCTCATTTTGTATACAAAGGGTTCATGTAATGTGTTTTAAGACCTCTTGACTCTTGTTAGTTTCCATTGTTCCTTCTTCAGCGAAACAAATTTGAAGCTGCTAAACATTTCAGAACCCCATTCTCCTTCTGAATTTGATTGTGCGAATGTTTTCTAATTAGTCCAGTGTGCACATTACCAATCTCGAGTTTCCTTCCTTTTACTCTTTTTTTTCAATTATGTATACTGCATTCTTGGCGCACTGAAAATCTGTCAGAATACCCAAAATACTTGTCTCATTTTCAAGCCTCTGTCTTGCTGCTCTGCAGAAAAAGATTAATCCCAAGCACAGTGATTATCTCCTTTCTTATTTCAGTCCCCTCCACCAAATATGCCTTGAATTTGATAAGATTTGTTTGCAAAAAGTAGTTAGTATCATTGGAATTTAACCTCCACAACAAATCTACAAGAAAACGCAATGTTAATAAAGGAACTCAGGAAATATATATAGATGCTAAAACAAACTAATATAAAAGAACTTGCAGAATGGAATTTCAGGGTGAAGAAAGATAACTTGGAGATCAATTGACAGGTAACAAAAATTCCAACTGAAAATTAGATTTCCATATTTACCAGAAAAAATTAATTCAAATTTTATCATTCTTCTCTTTATCAGTGATTAGACTTCTTTGTTAGCCTTTTCTTTTCTCTGTCCTGTATTCTATGGCAAATCTAAAAACATGATCACCCAAAACACTCTAGATACTCACTAAGTTGGAGTCGCTAGCCAACAAATCTCTAATAATCCGAATTAATTCAGTGTGAAATAATTTAGCATCCAAATATAGATGTCATCAATCACTTGATGACAATTTGAAGTTGCAGAGAATGAAAAATATAAGATAAAGTTCAACTTCATGGAAAATAACCTTAATAGTTGTGGCCACCTATAAACTACCCAATTCTGAATAATGAGAATTCTTTTGGAAGATTTTAGAGAATAACAAACCCTAATGTTACACTAAGTATCATAAGGAACAGTAACACTATCTAATATGTGGAAATTGCACAGTTGTTAACTTTTAATGACGAAAGAAGGGAAAGAACTTCTCTCCTCGATATCCAGACTGTCAAAGGCACCCTTCCTACAGCTTCATTGATCTTGCAATTTAATATTCACTAGTAAATTATAGAGTGGTCCAATTTGGCCCTCAAAATGTAAAATAATAGTAGTAATTTTTCATTGAAATGTTACAGAGAAAATGCCAAATCTTGCTTTAGGCCTCACCTTAACTTCAAGGAAGAATATACCTATGATTATTCAACTAGGTGATATAACAATTTCCGGGAAAAAAAAAAAACTAGGTGCTATATCGATTAACAATCTCTTATAACAACCCTTCCATACTAGCTGATGAATAATCTCCAAAACAATGTCAACATCCCCTTGTGTTTTCTTCTTTCATACATGTATCAATATGCTTTAAGAGTCTGTCCAGTCTTCTATATTCAGTCCACTCAGAACCAAGAATTATAAGCACCTCTTTACATATATAACATCATTAAACTTAATTCTGATCTTTTTATATTCTTGTAATAGTTTAGATAGTAAATCCCAACAAATGTGAACTTAACAGGTGCACCAGTCCTCCACCGATGCAGCATCATCCCTCCTGGTAACGGCACTCAATGAGGGGCGGGATGTGATCATGGATGGCACACTCTCTTGGTTGCCCTTTGTTGTGCAGACAATAACCATGGCCAGGAACGTTCACCGCCGTCGTTACCGTATGGGAGTTGGATATAAGGTGTGTGCAGATGGAGTCGTAATTGAAAACTACTGGGAACAGATAGAAGAAGAACCAGAAAGTGATGGAACTAAGAAGAGAAGACCATACAGGATAGAGCTGGTTGGAGTTGTTTGTGATGCTTATTTAGCTGTTATTAGAGGCATAAGGTATGTGAAATACAATTATTCATACTGCTCTTGAAAAACATTATCAACATAAATAAATAAAAAAAAGGATATTTATTTCAGTAATTTAGAAAAGGATTTTTTTGACAAACAAACTTCCTAACATGTTTCAAAGCAAATCATGTTCAATATTTTGTTTCACTTCCAAAATCATCATCATCATCATCCTTGCCTTAACCGCATATGAAAACCCATTTTGTAATTCTTAGTTGAGAAGGCTTTTGGGTGTAAATTTTTTGAACGTCTACAGGAGAGCTATCCTGTGTAGAAGAGCTGTGAGGGTAAAATCACAGTTAAAATCGCATAAGAGATTTGCAGACGCATTCATAACGTACTGCAATCTAGTGGACAATGCCAGGTTGTACTGCACCAATGCTTTGGAAGGTCCACCTAAGGTAAATCTTTCAATCCTCCTGTCTCTTCATTCTTCCTTTTCTTTGGATTTTCAAAACTCTCGATCAGGAACTAAGAGGAGCTTAAAATTTCTATAGTTCCCTTCAGGGTTCAGTATCTTAACTCGCGATTCAAGTGAGGCATTAGCATGGTGTTTAATTTTGTTCGTATAGCTTATTCAGCCTGAGTTTCGCTAGGAATGCTTGGCTTTGTAAAAGCCAGCTGAGTTGTAACATGTAAATTTAACCATTTCATGCAGTTCACAAGTTCAAGGCCTTAATTGGCGTGGTATAAACCAAAGCTTGTTTTGACTCTCGAGCCAATACCCTTAAAAAAACTATAACGAGCGTGAACTAAGCCAAGTTTTATCATAAGTAGTAAATGGTGTCAATCAGTTTTCTACAGTGGTTTAACTGAGGTTATGGCTTTAGATAGAGCAAATTGACGAAACATGATTCACGTAACCGATCCCAAATAGTTGGGAAAAGACCTTTTTGGGAGAGAGTTATATACAGTAATAACGTTTCATCAAACGTGTGGTACTGACATGATCATGGTTGTGAAGTTGATAGGATGGAAAGATAGAGACAAGACTTTGCTAGTTGATCCAGATGAAATAAAATGCTTAAAAGTGGTAGCCAGGTTGAATGAGGAAGCTGACTCCATATATGAACTCTACAAGCGGTCAAATCCAGCTCACGAAGCAGGATCAGTATGGAAAGACATTGTTTTGTCACCTTCAAGGTTGAATATTCAAAAAGAGCTAAAGTATTCCATCCAGAGAATTGAAAGATTGAAATTGTAAACAGATACTGCAGGACCAGCCAAATTTTCGAATTGCTCATGATGCATGGTCAAGTGGTGGAGGCTTAACAATGTTTGACATTTTATGCAAGTTTTGTGACCAGGGAATATTTTATAGATGTTGTACTAAATCGTCACGGTTTACATGTAAATTTCTTTATCTTGCAAAGTGCAGTTTAGATCATGGAAATTGACAGCAATATTTTGTTAATCTAACTGAGTGTTTGGATAAAACATATGTGTGCATACGTAAGTATTTATATTTAAATCGCTCAAGAGAATGAAACAGACAACCATCAGCACAATCATAAGCCAAATCACGAAATTCATCCCAGTTTCGATCCTCTCAAAGGATAGAAAAAATCATTCCATTGTTGGAAAAAAAAAGCATTTTTTAGAATCAAACATTAAGATTCTAACTCAGGATTCATAATCGTAGTATTGCATGCTAAGATACATATTAAGATTTTCAATAGTACAATTGCATGAAAACATTGAAAAGAAAAGAATGATCAGCATATGGAATGCAGCATACAAGCATGAATTATAACAACATAATTATTCTAGTATAGAGTAATGAATTTTAACACTAAAAATGTCATGGTGTAAAACAGAATAAAGAAAATAATAAGTCCCCCAGTAATCCTAATCACAATGGTGCCTTAGCGCGTTCCAAGGATCATAGCTGACATAAATAAATTCCACCTAGTTTGCAACAGAAGCATCATATATGAATTCAGAATCACAGGGCATCTTAAACATATAGGCATTTAAGGTTCATCCATGTCAAGAAATATACTAGCAATCTTCAGTCTCCTATCTGTATAATCATCATTCCAAGGGTACAACAAAAAATTTCCCAAAATCCATATTTCAATGAACAAGATCTAACTCTAAGTGCACCAGTTATTAATACCACAATAGCTTATAACAATATAAGATTTATGCAAGTTAGGTTCCACAACTAATCATTATAATATTCATGACAATCTATATCAAGAGATTACAAATCCTGTTTAGATCCATATTCACCTGTCCAGAGAATCAGAATGATTCACTTACAAGGAGTGTACCTCCATTACAGAGTCCATAATTAGATATGTTCAACATTCTTGGGGTTTTCTAACTGGTCAAATGGGTTATTTATCCATAAAAAAAAAAAATAATAAAATAAATAAATAAAAGAGGCAAAACTCATTGCACTAGGCTTTTGCATTTGCGAGGTCCAGAGAGGATTAGAAATACGCAGTCTTACCTTCAGATGTGGAGATGTTATTTTCTTATTTCAAACCCGAGACTTTCAGTTTACAATGGAGCAACCTTAACACTGGCCCTGCAATGGCAGGAGCCTCTGGGCTAGCCCTAAATGAGGTATTTACCATAAATTTTAAATTAACATGCTCAATGGCCTGCCCCGATCCAGACACTGGATTGATCGGAGATTCGGATCTGTGTGGTAAGCAGAAGACTCCCATTTCATCACATACTTTCTACCACATGTTTTTATCCCAATTCTCTAAAAAATAATAGTCTACATTAATTTGAAGTCTCAAAATTATTTGTTCATAATGAGATAAATTTTATTTGATTAAATAAATATGGATTCAAGTAATTGGACTTCTTCAAACATAAACACATTGTAACAATTTTATGAATGCAGTGATTAACATAATGATGAGTACAGTGCAATATGGTACAAATGCAACAGAAATACAACTTGCAAAGAGGCAAAGGGAGTTAGGTTTTCCTACCTTCCCTTTCATTTTCTTTCTTCCACGGCTTTCCTTTTTCCTTCTATTCTGCCATCGTCTGCTTATTTTTTCCACTACTCTCTCTCTCTCTCTTCCATCTTTTTTATTTTTTTCTGCTTATGTAATTCCTCTGTCCGACTCCTACCCACAGTCGGAGAGAGTGGAAGCCCAAAAGCTAAAAAAAAACCTCTGATAAAAAGTGAAAATTAATTATTGAAAATTTTAGAACTCAATTTTTAGTAATAAAATTTTTAAGTGGTAAATAATAAATTAATATTTTTTTTTAATTTTTAATATGTAGTATTATTCAAATTACATTATTAAATATACTTAATTGAATAAAAATTTAATCGGTTTAAAATCACTAAATTAAGTTATTAAGCCACGTAAGGCCACAGCGAGAACAGGAGTGCGCAAAGATCAGCACTTAGAAAAATTGTGTTATCTAGTTATTTAGGTCCAACCAATCAAATGATGCTGTAAGCCTATTCAATTTTTTTATTTTTATTTTTTTTTTCTGGCATAAGTCTACTATTTTTTGAAAAAGGTTATGAACTTACGATGTATGTGTTTTTTCTGGATCATTCATAAAATCGAGATGCTCTTTTAACATTTAAGAAACGAATGTATGACAATTATACAATCAAAAAAATTAACTCTAAATTAATCTAAGGTATTTTTAGTTGTTTTTATACATATTAATTTAATATGAATAACGTGGTGATGTAACTTATATATTAATTTTGGTACTCGAAATGTGCTAATATAAAAAACGCTCATGACAAAACATAATGATTGTTAAGGTTGCGTTTAGTAACGAGAAACGTTTTCTGTTTTCTGTTATTTGCTATCAGTCTCTAAAAAGGCAAAATAAAAACAAAAATTATGTTTAATAATATGTTTTTGTTTTTCTGTAATAGAAAAATTTTCTATTTTTGTGAAAAAAAGAAAGAAACATAAAAAATATGTTTCTCATGTTTTCGATAATATTGAGCAAAAACTTTTCTATTATTATTATTACATATACACTGTTCATTTCAAATAAAAAGTATGTTATTCATGTTATATAATAATGTTACATATTAAATATTAATAAAACTATTTTTTTAATATATAATTGTATTATAAATTAGTGTAAATTATTTTTTATTTAACAAAAGTATATATTTAAAATATAATAGTATAAATTATTTTTTAGGACAAAAAAATTATGATTTGTAATATATTTTTTATTTATTTTATATAATATTATTAAATTATTATGTAATGGATATAATATATTATTATATACCATATCTATATTATATTATAGTTATATTTTTTAATATTTTTTTATTTATTATAATATAATATATGTTAAATATATTGTATATTTTATAATAAATGTATAGATGATGTTGTAGACACTAAAAAAATTCACAAAATGGGTTCGGGCTATAATTTGGGCTTACCATCAATTTAGCCCACTTTGAAACATGGGCGTTACCCAAACAACCTAAGCCCATCACAAAACATGGGTTATGGATCAACCTAAATTACTCAATTGACCCAATCCACTTTAATGGGCCAATTTCAAATTGCTAACTAAACAGACCCACTTAGAAATTAGGTTAGTAAAATAAAATAATAATTATTCTTAATATATATATACATATATATTTGAGGATCCAAATTATAATTGTGATAATTATCCAAAGTGACTCAAAATTACTATCTTGTCCCTTCATGATATCTATAAATAAAAGTGAAGGGGGAATGAAAGGGGTTCCAACGGAACATTGAAGCTCTGCCAAATTCTACACCCATTCACCACTTAAAGCTTTGAACACTCAATACTTCGAAACTTTGAATACAAAGGACCATAAGTACGTTCTGCAAGTGCCGGCCCTATTCAAATACTTTCATTCAACCGTTTGAGATTAAGGGCCTGTTTGGGAAGTGTTCCCAAGTGTTTTGTAATGTTCCGGGGCAGCTACAGTAGCCCATTTTGAGAACACATTTCAAAACAAATATAATATTTGGCCCAAACGCTGGAACAACAATTTGGTATTTTATGTTGTTCCAGGCCCATTTTTTTTTACTGTAGCGAGGATAATAATAAATTTTTTTTAGGGCAAATCCCAATCGCCTCCGTCTCTATTCTCGTTCTCAACTCTGGAACTTGCTTCCCCTCTCTCTCTCTCTACAACTGCAAACACAAAATCTACAAGGATCAGAAGTCCAAAACCCACTTCCATCTCTATTCTCGTTCTCAACTCTAAACTTGGCCTCTCTTTCTCTCTCTCTGCAACTGCAAACTACAAAATCTACAAGAATCAGAAGTTCAAAACCCATATAGTTCAGTTTATGCAAGAATCAAAAGTTCAAAACCTATTACCTATATCAAAACCCTCATATCGGCATATCGTTTCAGATTATTCAAAAAATCAAAACCCATATCTTTCAGTTTCCATCGACCGCTGTTCCAGTTATGGTTCGCCGTTCGCAAGTTTCAGCCGCTGTCTGTCAACTCTCAAGCTTGCCCCCTCTCTCTCTGCAACTGCTGTGTGTATGGGTTTTGTTTTAATTTTTTTTGTAAATCAACTAATCAAGCTCTGTAATCGTATTTGGTGAAATTTTTTATTTGTGTATATTTTGCAAACTAAATCCTATTTGGTGAAATCAAGCTCTGAAATTTCAGATTGTTCAAAAAATCCTATCAAATCATTGGAAAATTAATTTATTTTAATCATCAAAAAAAAAAACCATATAGGCATACATTTCAGATTGTTCAAAAAATCAAAACCCATATCTTTAAATTTAGGAATATTTTCAGAAGGTAAAAAATGCTACCAAACATGTTTTACCATGTTTCTATTCCAAAATTCTCACTCTAAATTTTCTTCGCCAAACATATTTTGTTCTCATTTCAGAACACCACATTACAAAACACTTGTTCTGTTCTAAGCTAAAACAAAACACTACAAAACACAACACTTCCCAAACGGGCCCTAAGCTTCTACAACTCTCAATCGGAAGTCAATCCAAATTTCCTTCATTTATCGGAGATTTGAAAAAAATTCGTTGCAGACGATTCAACATCAAATATTGGAGCATTTGCACCGAAAATTTAGGAGATTGAATCAGAATTAGAAGCATTGGACAAGAAAATGTTAGAAGCTCAACAACAATTAAAGTGTTATCAAGCTCGATTCTCTAAAGCTTTCAATAAGAAAGTTCGATCTTGATCATTCCAGAATAGGGACTTGGTACTTCCTGTTCGTAGACCTATTATCATGAATAGCAACAAGTTTTTGTCAAAATGGGATTGACCGTACGTAGTTTGAGAAGTCTACACCAACGACGCACACAAGATCGTCGACGAAGATGGAGTTAGGATTGGACCCATTAATGGAAAGTTCTTGAAGCGTTACTACCCATGATGGCACCATGGTCTTGATCATATGAGCCAAAATTGTATTACTCCTAGCCTGCGTGAGTTAAAACTGTGATTACACAAAAAATGATAATAATAATAATAAAATGCATAGATAAAAATTAAAAAAAAAAATAAAAACATTTTTTTATTGAACTACGCCGTGACTTGATCCCTATTTTGAGGGTATGTAGGCAGCTTAGAATTGCATTATAAGTTTAGTTAGAAAAAAAATAAATAAATAAAAATAACAAATGTATTACTCTTGGCCCGTAAGAGTTTAAACTGTGAACGGCTAAATAAATAAGATTCTTTATTTGGTAAAAAAAAATATAGAATTTTATTTTCAAATTACAAGAGGATAATTTTCTTAGAATTATTCCAATACATAATTAAATGATTAGCCAAAATATATATATATATATATATATATATATATATATATATATATATATCAGGACAACTAAGATTACTTTTGGATATCTTCTTATTCTTTCTTCAACAATCTTTCTAAATTTCTCACAGCTTTTGTGTCCTCATCAGTGATAATAGGGGCCTCATCACCCACTTGTCGCTCTTCTCGAAGGCTTGTAATACCACATTTTCTTTGAAGCATTCTTGCGTTAGTCTCCTCAATAGAAGCTTTGTGTTTCTCAATCCGAGCACGCAAACATTCAATTTCTTTCTCATCATTAATAAGAGTTTCTTGAAATGATTGAACACACTCCATTTTCGCATTATCCAAGGCAAAAACCTCACTAAGGCGAGAATCAACATTGTTCAGACATTAAGCTCGTGCCTCTTCAGTTAAGGTATAAGCATACTCAAATTGAATTTGATTATATTTTTCAGCATTCTGAAGGTATGCATCAATCATTTCTCGAAATTTGGAATAGTCCACAAAAAACAGAGAGAGTCCATGAAAGAGTTTTTCAAGCTTTGGCCTGAGCGACGGAATCTTCGAAAACGGGGTATTTGCTATTGCATTTTTTATTTTGTCCTCAAATAGCATAGTCGCCATGCATTTAGCAAAATCGCACATTTTGCGTCTAGTGTAATAGCTTCGGAGGGCACAACTTAATGCAATGACTGAACATTCCCAAGGGGTTATTTTTCGGCCAATGATTCAACACTAGCTTTAAGTGTCTCACCAACCGTTTGTGGTGGCTGACTTGAAACCTCTTGCTCCATTAACAAGGCTAGAGGTTGGGATTGTCTCTCGTGCAACACTACATTCTGAATAGGATGATTCGCCTCATCAAGGATGATTGCACTATTTTCTCTTCGATTCGCTAACTCCTAAAAATAAGGTCCATCAACAGATTCCTCGCTACAAAAAGGATCGTTAACAAGGACGAGGTCTTCTCCAAGAAAACCTTCGTTGCCTTTTGTCTAAAGAAAGAAAAGAAAAGAGGAAGACAATAAATAATAAGAAAAAAATACTAATAATTAAGATGAATAAAAAATAATAATAAATAAAAGTTACCTGTATATGTTGTGAAATGCTGGGTACCCCATCAAACAAACGGTTCATATTATGATGAACTATGATAGGGTCACGAGTGACGACATCTTCTGTCTTGTCCCCCACATGTTTCCAGTTACGATCCACATTATCGTCTTCCTTATCCTCGTCTAAATCCACTACTAACTAACGTCGAGGATGAGTTTTTGTTGATGGCAGAAGTTCTTTGGCCACCTCCAAACAAT